CCAGCGCCACCTTGCGGCTCTTTTTTTCAATAGTATTGCTCCTACCGATACCAATATACCATCTTGTTTATGAGGCAAATCGGAGCGAGCCACCTGGCGAGCCATTTTTTCGCAGAAATATTTCCCTTCACGTTACCAATACATATTTTGAATATTATCCAGATCAGTAGCTCGTTTCTGTAACTCTTATCTACCGATTATTTCTCTACTGGTAGAGAATATACGTCTTTCTACTCATTAGCAATAGAGAATAGGTCGGCGAATTCATATCTCAATTCGCCTTGGTATAGAATTGTTACAGAAACGAGCTACAAATCATAAAGTTGTGAACAAAAATTTCATTAAAATCATTTCGGTCGTTTAGGAGGAGTTCACTCGAAAACACACGTACCGAAGAATTATATACAGGGACGAGCAAAACTGTAACATCTGCCTTAATTTACATTTTTGTCTGCTGGTTTTATTATTGTTGTTGGATTGACTTCAAATCATTATGAGAGAGGAAGTACAGGTGTACCAATAATAATATACAACAACAGTATGAAAGTCGTTAGAACTTGGAAAGATAGCGATGACTGAAGTAAAAAGTATTACACCATGTTACAGTTTTGCCCGTCACTGTATGTATTTATAGATAGGTAAAACTGTCAGTATGTTAGGAAGGCACCACGCCCTCTTCACCAATAACCCCCACTTTTATCCAAGAGTATAGGCTTGATTTCAAAACCTTCATACCAAGTTCCAGGACTCTACCACATGCGAAATATGCGATGGCTATAACAAAAAAAGTCTATTTCAAAAAAATCGGTACAGCCGTTCGCGAGATCACTTCTTGCAAAAAGGTGGCACACCTCTTAATATAATTAGTATATATAATAAGTATCGATAAATAGCCAATTCCCGCTGCTTTGCGGCGCCTTAAAATATTTCGAACTGCGAAACAATCATTCAATTCTATTCTATATAATAGATCGGTCCCTGGTCCACCTATAAGAAAAAAGTATTTTATATGTTAATCCATCACTAAGCTGCGTACGCCTCAAATTTTAAACAAAACGGAACATATTATAAGAAAAAATGTATCCTGTATGTCAATCTAATCTAAATTGCAAGCAAATAGGACGATAAATAAAACTTTTTCGAATAGGTCGGTCTCTGGTCCACTTCACGGAAAAAATAATCACATATGCTAATCTAAGCAAAAAGCTACCTTCGTACCAAATTTTAAGCAAATCGGACCATAAATAAGATTTCCTCGATTGGATCGGTTCCTGGTCGACTTCCCGGAAAACAACAGTCATATATGCTAATAAATACGATTTTTTCGAATAGAGCGGTCGGTGGTCCACTTCCTAAAAGAGAAGGATCCTATATGCTAATCCAGGCAAAAGCTACCTACGTGCCAAATTATAAGCAAATCGGACCATAACACGATATTTTCGAATAGATCGGTCCCTGGTCCACATACCGAAAAAAAACATAAAATAATGTCAGGAGCAGGTTATAATGTACCTTTGTACTATTTAGCATGTCATTGGTCGGTAACAAGAGCAACTTAAATTTAAATCTATTAAATACATTCTAGCGTGTCTCAGTCCTTTGCCCACAAAAGCGGCTATAACTTTTTTTCTATTCGAAACAGCAAGAGTGGCACTTTTCTGAAATCTTTATTAAATGATCAATTTTTTTATGTAATGTAAAGTTATATCTCAGAACATAACTTATAACTTTTTATAGCTCAGAAATTTTTTTTTACCAGAGATAGTCAAAGTTGGGGAGGAAAATATCAAAATGTTAAAAATCCCAAAATAACCAATTCGGTTTCTGTCGTAAAAACAACGGTAAACATTGCCTTATTATGGGGTAAATTTTGAGCCTTTAAAGTGCTCTAGCAACTTATTGTTGGCATATATAACTTTCATTTTCGGGATATAGGTTCTTTGGAGCAGTAGAAATATTATCGGGTACAAATTTTATATAAATTTAACAAATATTGAGCATTTTAAGGCAAAAAATTTTTGAAAAAATTTGCAAATTTTTTTTATTACCAAAATGCTCGAAAACCGCTCGAATGATTTTGTTTTTGTTTTCTTTAATCAAAAATTCAAGAGTTTTCCTTTCGTTTGGTATATGGGAAGTATTGGTTGATATCTTCTATATATGTTTATTTTATTCAAATATATGGGCATAAATGATTTTCCATACAAAATCACCTCGTCATCATTTTGCAAACACGTGCATATGTTGGAAGTGTGGGAAGGAGACAAAAAGTATGTATGCGTATGTAATGCGGCTTTTGATAAACAGAGGCGCGCTATTTATAACCTAATCGCAGCGTGTGTACATATGTAAATACATATGTGGATTGCAGTTAATGTGGATCTGTTTCTATTTTTAGTAATCTATGTATGTCTATACATACATATGTACATACATATTATATATGTACATACATATATGAACACATGTATGCATAATACGCGAAGACTTTTCGAAGTGAAACAACATTTAGAAAAAGTCCAATCCAAGAATAAAAGTAAAGGTGAGGACGTACATAGATAAAGAAAAGGATAAAGGCCAAGGTAAAAATAAACACAAAAACAAAGTTGAGTAAAGATAAAGGCAAACATGAAGACCAAGGTAAATTTAAACACTTTACTTATATGTATAAGTGCAAAGGTGAAGGGGAATATGTATATGAAGAATATGATAAACATAAAAATAAAAACAAAGATAAATATAAAGAAAAAGAAGCGGATGAGGATACCGATAAAAGTATAGATGAAGATAGAGGAAGAAAGATTAAAATAAAGGTAGTTGTAGAGAAAAGGATATAGATAAAGGCACAGAGACTCAATCTCGGAACTATTTCGGGATTTTAGGGATTCTCGGGACTTATCGATATAATCGATATTTTGTTGGTTTTTTTATCGATTTTGTTATCGAAATTTGTATCGATATTGTTATTGATTTTGCTATCGATATTTTTGGAAATTATCGATATAATGATCGATATTTTTATCGATTTTGTTATCTCTTTATTATCGATTTTGTTATCGATTTTATTATCGATTTTGTTATCGATATTTTTATCGATTTTGTTATCGATATTTTTATTGGTTTTGTTATCGATATAATTATCGATTTTGTTATTTATTTTGCTATCGATATTTTCACTTATCGATATAATGATCGATATTTTTATCGATTTTGTTATCGACATTTTAATCGATTTTGTCATCGGTTTTGTTATCGATATTTTTATCGATTTTGTTATCGATACTTTCGGAACTTATCGATATAATGATCGAGTTTGTTATTTATTTTTCTATCGATATTTTCGGAACTTATCGATATAATGATCGATATTTTTATCGATTTTGTTATCGACACTTTAATCGATTTTGTTATCGATTTTATTATAGATTATTTATCGATTTTGTTATCGATATTTTTATCGATTTTGATATCGATATTTTTATCGGTTTTGTTATCGATATTTTTATCGTTTTTGCTATCGATATTATAATCGACTTTGTTACCGATATTTTTATCGATTTTGTTGTCGATATTTTTATCGATATTTTTATTGGTTTTGTTGCCAATATTTTTATCGATTTTTCTATTGATATTGTTATCGCTTTTGTTATCGATATTTTTATGGGTTTTGTTATCGATATTTTTATCGATATTATTATCGCTTTTGATAACGATATTTTTATCGATTTTGTTATCGGTTTTGTTATCGATTTTGTTATCGATTATTTATCGAGTTTGTTATCGATATTTTCATAGATTTTTTTATTGATATTTTTATCGATTGGTTTATCGATATTTTATATCGATTTTGTTATCGATATTTTTTTAGGTTTAGTTGTCGATTTTTTTTTTTTGAGATTTTTTCGTCTGAATATGATTTCGTTCTGTACTTTATTGATACTTTTTCGTAATTAAGAAAAATCAAAATTTATATTTTGCGTTTAACAGCATTCGAACCCGAGTCTTCCCGAAAGTTAACAAATAGTAACAAGTATCTCTGCGCCCTTAGCTACAACCACAACATGTTAATGTGTTTTCAAATGTTCAGTTTGAATTAAATTTCTTTCAAGCGCTCAAACAATTTTATATTAAGTTTTTTCAATAAATATCTTTTCTGTTCAAAATTTCAAATCTTTAAATCTCAGTAAGCTGTAGAAAAAAACAATGGTATAAAATAAAAATAAAAATAGGGCTTTCGCTTATATTCTCATTGAGTTCTTTTCACTTAGAAGTATGTAAATTTGTAAAATTTTGGAAAAACCCTTTTTTTCTTAGTGTGTGATTTCGTTTTTGACTTGGATATGCTCTTAGCCATACCACGTATTCTACGTTTAAATATAGCGGCTGTATCTCCGATACAGCCTGCAGACCAAGACGAAGGCGCTGGACTGTTCCTTTTTTTATTCAAATAAATATAAATATTTCAAAAATGGTGACACTTTTACCTGAAAATTTTTTGTTTATCAGGGTGCTGACGCAAAATAGTTTTATTCATACGAATCATTGCTAAAGTTCTGATTTTTTATGTTGTGTTGCTAAGAGTAGACAGAATTTCGCAACGTTCCGAATAAATAACTATTTTGCGTCAGTTTCCAGGGCAGTTAAAAAAATGCGTATAATTTTCGTCACGAAATTGCTATCATAAATTTTGTGTTTCTAGTTCAGTTTTCGTCACTCGAAACTTTTACCTTAAAGAGGTGTTTTATTTGATATCCATTATTTTGGGGAAGCAAATTTAAAATCAACGAA